ATGAAATGGCTCATTGGCAGATAGTTTGAGCATCACATTCTTGGAGAGCTAACTGAATGGAAATTAACCAAATACAGAAACTTAAAATTTTTCAATTTTAAAGAATGCTTCCCCTTAACCAGAAGCTATATTTATTGTGCATTTCTTCAATGATTTTTCTTCAGGGAACATTTAAATGCAAGGTCTACCCTTTTCTGTACACTGTTTTTTTTTGTTTGTTTTTCTGTTTTTTTCCCACAGCAATCTGACTTGACAGGTTGGTAACCTGCGGTAGGGTGTTGGCAGTAAAGTCCTTCTATTCCTTCATTACCAAAGTATGTGACATATCTCAGTTTTTAGGTCTCTTGGCTCTTCAGGCAATCTCAGTATCACATTCTTAGCCACAGATAATGTTATGTGTTTTCCAAGTTCTAATTCATTCTTCTTTCTAGGAACACAGGAAGACTGCATTTTCCAGCTTTCTCTATGACTAGATCAGTATGTGTAGCTAGTTCTGGCCAATGAACTGTGAAAGTACTAAGTATAATAATTAGTCTGAAGTATATAATAACAGGATGCCACACATTTCAGGTGGCAATGCTAAAGAAAGTAAGCATTTATGCCTGGACAAGTAGCATATGTAAGAAATGTCTTGTTATATGAAGCTACTAAAATTTTGAGGTTATTTGTTAGCACAGCATTGCTTATGTGATTCTGATAATTATATATTATAAGCTACAGCAACCCTATCAGATTCCAAATGTCAATGTTTGATATTTCATACATTAGAAATATACTCTATTAGCTACTCATCTATTCAAATATCTCTTCGTGCTGAGGCAACTCCAAGGGTTAAACTTGCCCTATGTTTTCATCTATAGCCTGTAAACAACTTGTTAAAAGGATGATCCGTAGTCCTCCTTGGCTGGATAAAATCAGAGCCTACAAGGGTAAAAGAGTTAAAGAGAGAGAAAAATTATTGTTTCTTAAGCATTTTTGTAACTCAGAATCACCTGGAAAGTTTATTCTGAGTGCAAATCTGCTCTACTCAAGAGATCCTCATATTGCATGGGATCAAGAAATATGCATTTTAATATGAAACCAAATTGGCTCTCATGTGGATGTATCTAGGAATATACTTTAAGAAACTTTAGAGTAGACTCTAATAAAGGCTGTCTCCTCTTTTAGCCTGAATAGTATAAAAATATGATGGGGTTAGACAGAATTATCAAAGGTAGTTTTTTATTTGATGCATGGCATAGCTTATTTGAATTATCAAGGGCCTGGACAATGTCCAGTACTTAATAAATCAGTCTCTCTGGAGTAGGGGTTTCATCTGAGATCTTCACATGCCCTCCCAACAATTTTTAGACACAACAGGGTTTGAAACAATTGCCATAGGGATTATTTGTCCTTCTGTACACATCTTTATGATTAGTTCAGTTTATTATTCATGACTTTTTCAAAAACATTAGTTTAGGAACATTAGTTAACCAACCACCTCAGATCTTCACACAGGAAGTAAATATATTATTACTAGAGTTTTTATTAATTATAAGAAGTAATTGTAACCCATGGTATAAATGATAGTTCCTAAAATATTATATTTGATTTTCAAGATGAATGGTGAACATATTTTTATTTTCCATAAAGAAAAATACAAATTATCTATTTGGGGGGGAATTATAATATGATTATAGATTCTAGAAGACAAAATGATTCCACTTTTTAATATTTAAATGTTATAATATTTTAAAGTGAAATTATATAAAACCATAATACAACAGGGTCAGTTGTCACATCGCATACTTGATACGATATTTAATTCATATGTATGTGGGTTAACATTAACTGCTTTTTTGATTGAAATGTATAACAGTTCAAATTAAATAGTTCTAATTAGGTGACTTTGTAATAGGAATACTTCCACTTGAATCTTACAAGAGTAGTTCTACAATCGGCTCTGGGTCAGGTGTCAGAAGCCCAGATTAGAAGCCCAACCCTTGCTAATTGACTGAGTGTCATTAGTAAAGTCACTTTATCTGTATAATATGTTCCTGTTCTGTACTGCTTTAGTGTTAAAAAATGATGTAATAAAATCAATTTGTAAGCCATAAATAGTTATACAAATGGAAGTTTATGCAATCACGAGTGATTTTACTATGGATATAAAATTGGCCAACAATTATTGAGCACTTACAATGTGCCAGACACTGTGATACGAACCTACATGAGTTATACAATTTAATACTCACAAAGTCCAATAAGTTTAATAATATTATCTCCATTTTAGCTCACAGGAGATGGAAACCCTTAGAGCCCATGGTAAAACACAGGAGAGAAGGAGATCTCATATTTATCTCTACTTAACTTGAAACTTATTCCTAAAAAGGCAATATTCCTGTGTAAGTGATATCCATTTAACCTACAGCCATATCAATTGAGTTATGAATCTGCATGACCCATGAGGAAATATTTTTCTCCTTATTCAGCCCACTGAAATATATTGTACTGAACAGTGCATTCAATTGTACCATGTTGGGTCAGGAAGTAATGATATAACCTTGCTTTTCTCCATACAGTACAAGTATGGTCAATCATCTGTCTGAACATCTTTCTGATTTTGACTATATGCCAAAAATCATGACATTTTTTTGGTTACATTGTACTTATATTGTCAATGGAAATTGATACTGACCAAAATTGAGCTTTTGAGAATACCACGATTATCCAGCTACACATTCATAATAAGAGTACATGTTTAATTTTCCATGCTTCTGCCACTAGTCTTTTCATTTATTTTTTCATTTAAGAGATAATTTATAAACGACAAAAGTAGTCTATCAATTTTCCCAAACATATTTTATGGTTTGAAACACTATGCTAATAAGGAATAAGACTGATTATGGATAACTGCATTCTCTCTCAACTTGGGATTTGGAGCAACTTACATTAGCCACTATTTAACAGATTTAGAGAGAAACTACTATCTGTCTTCCAAGTGAAGATTCCTGAATATACATCAAGAATGGATTAATCTCTTTAAGAAGGCAATGTAGAACATGAGTTGCACACGGTCATTTACTGCTGGGTGTTCAGGTAGAGTGGCCTGTCCTTTCCTAATTACAAGTTTCCTGTTGAGTCTCATTTACTCTGGAGGGCCTATTCCCTCATCTTATTTCTGCATGAAAAGGATCTAATCGCTTCTTGTTTCAACAGAGAGTTCTGTATTTCTTTCCAAGGGGAGAAATGGGATGAAAACTCTGGTTTCTTTCTCCAGCTCTCATTCATTATTAATAACCGAGAAAGGCTGACACCCACTGGGCCATAGCGCATGAGGAGTCAGGTTTATGTGCTGAAATGAGTGCTAATGTCTGGTACCGCCTTTGCCTCCTTTTACTTTGCTCCTGTTCATGAGCAAAGTATGAGCAAAATTAGATTGTGCTTCTAATTTTCTTACAGTAAAACCACCATGCAGGGACCCTTTATAGACTAGATGGAAGACACACTATTTCCAGCTTTCTCTCCTTAATGGAGTGTTGGGTCAGTTCAGCCCTATTCTGAGGGTCTGGATGTCTTTAATTTGGGGAGGGAATAAATGTTTTCCATTATTTCCTTAGGGCCAGTCTGTGTTCTCCAGTCTCAATATCACCAGGGTTATTTGGATACCCATTCAACATATGCTTTTTGAGTGAATACTTTAGCTCTGAAATTACAAATTAGTGGCCCTTTGTGTGAATATGTGCCCATGTGTTCAGGTTGTTTCCTTTTTTTAAAATGTCATTTCATAATTGACAGATTACTTAAAAATCTGGATTTTCAGATTTATTTGAAAGATAACACTCTTTCAACTCTGGGGCTTAATCATTGACAGGAATCAAGTGAAACAGAGTGAAGGATGCTCCTTTTTAAAGAAATAAACACTTCACCTCCAGGCTTAATTATCTCTATTTTCTCTCTGACTTGGTAATCAAATGCTAAGTGTCTTTTATCTCTATCTATGTCCATATACACACGAGTACTAGATGAAGAGTATTATATTATACTTATATGTGGCCCTCTTTTCTCCTTTTTCTTACTTTTTGATCCTTGTAGGCACTTAAATGACTATCCTCAGAATTCCAAATGAGAAGGGATTGATGGACCAACCTCTACCCTAACCCCTAACCGTACTGAATTTTTCAGCTGTCATTTTCTAAAATTATAATGATATTTTTGATAGCTCTTCATTTCCTTTGAGACATTTTCTCAGTCTCTTTTGGCCCTTTCCTAGATTATTCCTAGAAAGAAACTAAAGATACATCTCAGCTTTCCTAGTATCCAAACCAAATCTCAATTTCCTTAAAGAGAATATTCTTCAGATATGAATTTAAAAGCCATAAAAAAGTAGAAGGGAAAGAGAGAGGTAAAAATTTGTTAGTACAAATGAAATCACATAAAAATATAACTTTATTGATACTAACAACTTTAGGCAGTTTAGAGAACACTAGTTTACAGTGATACAGAACACTGTGTATCCCTGTGTGGAAGTACTCGGTTCTTCCTGGGAAAATGTTCTGTAGGTTTCCCATTGAGCTTATTCCTACAGCTTCCACCAAAATTGAAACTGACTTCTTTCCATAATGCTCCCTTGAGATGCACATACCCTGTTAAGCGTCATAGCCCAAGTATACCTGACTGACTTACAGTATGAGGTTGGTCAACAAACTCAAAGGAAGCACTGAAATTCTTTGCTCTGTTTAAAACCATGGGGTATGAGAGAGGATCAGACTTTAGGCAACTTGCACATACTGACCTTCTAGGGCCCAAGAAGAGTGTGCTCTTCTGAGGCCATTAGAGGCAATAAATCTGGATTCAGGTCCTTCGGGTCTTTTGTCTCCTAGAAATAAATAGTTTTTAAAAATCAATAAAGGGGACACAACCTGACAGTCCATTAGATGATAAAAATGTCAATTATTCCCATAGGTTCATGACACATAATGGGCTGGTAGAAAAGGCAGCCACCACCCACCACACAGTAATTATAGGATATAAAAGTCATTGTTATTGGATAAATCCGTGAAATGGTGAAGAGCAAGGGCTGAAATCTGGGGAGCAGGGGGTTCCAATCTGGTACCATTTTGTATCCATTGAGTGTCTGACTCTTGGGGAACAGGCTTACAGAGGTGCGTCTCCCACTGGGGCTGGGTATGGATCTCTGCCCGGCTCTTGCTCCTAAGCTGACTCTCCCCTTCACAGTAGGTGACACAGCAGCGGCAGGCTGCAGAAGGCTTCCCTCTGTGCTTGGACACGGTGTCTGGGCCCGGAGAAGCACCTGCAGCTCTCCCCGAGCTCTCGAGCTCTGGGGGCTCTTTCAAACGGCTTTTCCTCCTTTGCACGTGGTCCAGACTGATGTCAGACTGGGAGGAACAGCTCTCATTCCAGCCAGAGCTGGCACTCAGACTTCTCAGTGGAAGAGCCAGTCTCAAGGCCTTCCAGAATTTAGAGCCAGAATGTTTGGACTTTTCTCCCTTCCAGCTCACAAAAGACACAGACTCCTTCAGCTGTAGGATGCTTGGGTGTGGCTGCTCAAGTGGACGGTACTCAACCACAATGAGCTTGGTGGCAATGGAGTTCTGGCACATGACACCCAGTTTGAACTCTAGCATGCTGATGCTCTTTTCAGTCACATAATCTGGGCTCAGCACAACAATCATCCTCCGGCTCCTTTGAATGAAGTCAAAAACTGCTTCCACTGTATCTATAGGAGAATGAAAGATAGGACAATGCCTAGTGAAAACATACAAACTTCAGTTCATCGTTGACAATCCCAGGGAGGACAGGCAATGAACATGAGAATATAAGATTGAAGTGTTAAATAATCTACACAGGTAAGGAATCTCATCTACACTACTCTTATGATTGCAGTGTCTGCTACCTTCAAGGATGAGGAAGTAACCACCTCTAAAAGCAGCTAATTTCAGCTCTACTTGTAAATAATTTCTTGTTTTGAAAAGTTGTTTCCTTCCACTTTAGTGGTCTTAGATATAACATTTTAAAATACTTTAAGTATCTCATAATTATTGTGATCCCATTGTATTTTTTTCCTCGTCTCTAGATTAAATAGCTTTCATGAATTTTGTATCTTATTCTCCATATGAATTGGTGTCAAGTCTCTTTCCTACTTTTATTGATTTTTTTTCTTAGTAACATTCAGTTTATGTATATATGTCATCTAAGAGTAATATCATGAACAGGACTGAACATAATGCTCCAGACACAGTCTTATCAGCAAAGATCTACAGGGCATTACTAGCTCCTAAGATCCACACAGTTATTGCTCTTGATACTTAAAATTTTTGGACTTATCAGACAGTTCATAATATTGACTGTGATGTCAACCAAAATTCCCTTTCTTTTTCTCTCTATGTCAAGAATTGGTCTGAATAACAATTAAAGAGACAACAACAATGACAACAATAACTGGTAAAAATCAGCCAATTAGTTGAGACTTCTCACAAAGCATTCAATTCTAACAGTTATTGTGGTGAATTTGTGCAAAACCTAATGGAAGCTTCTTGAGATAAACGCAGTGCTAAACTCATTGTGAGATTTAGGAGCTTAAACAGATTTTCTGAAGCAAATTCCAAACTTGTAAATTGCAGCTGTTGACAACTCCAAAAACACATGCTGTGAACAGACCATGAGATTGAGCACCTATGCTTTTCAGGCCAGGAGTGAAGCACTGAGGGAGAAACTTTTCAGTCTGTGAAGACAAGCTGAAAGTTGCAGTGAATTGGATCGTGAATTTGACAGGGAATGAAGGAGCTTTGCTCTCTACCATATTATTTCTTTCCAGCTGTTGAATTGAACATGAATTTGAAGGAAAACCAAAAGAGATGTGCTCAGTGTTCAAGAACATCTGACTGGCTTTATCAAGAGCACAAAGTATTTTAGTTACTTTTTGCTTCAATCTTATCTTTTTGCTTCAATCATCACTTATCTTCAAAGCCTGTTTGTGTGTGTGTGTGTCTGTATTTGTGTTTGTGTGTGTGTATTTGTGTGTCTTGGTAACTCCTTTTATTTCCTATCTTATTCAGAATCTTATGTTTCTACCTTTCATAAAACCAAGGTTGTGAGTTTAGGAAGTTTACTGTTTCTCCTGTATCATGATGAATATGATATGACCCTAAGATAACATGGATAGATTTTAACAAAAGGAACTTGTGCAATCAAATTGTATGCGTGTAGGGAGGAGGTGTGTAACTGTGGGTATAGGTGGTTCATTTCTAAATAGTCACTTTAGGAAAATGTTTGTTCTGTCAAAAGGGGGTACCATTTTTGAAAATAAAACATTGTCTTAGACCCTCTAAAAAAATTGACTTTAAAGCCTATGGCTTTTTTTTTTTTTTTTTAATTTTGGTAATCCACTTGAAAGTGGAGGATTTGCCTTTTAGAGAGGGTAGTGCAAAATAAATAAATAAATAAATATGAATGGTGGAATTCCAGACATTGAGGAATAGAGTAGAAGATGGTTTTCAGATAAGAGTTGGTCTATACCTTGGCGTCTTCATATAGTACTTTGAAGGAAACTGCCTCTTTTATGGCCTATTTTAATATCTTCCAAACTGTTAAATTTCATATTTGAGGATGTTAATTATTACTTTTTTAAAATGATGAATATTATTTGGAGAGGACACCTTAAATTAGGTCGTTTATTCTGTTTGGCTCAAAAAAAACAATAAGAAAACCTGAGGTGTGGCTATAGATTGATAAGACCAGTTTTTTATGTGGTAATAATGGGGTTTGAAGTGACAGTTTCTGATCTAGAACTCTTCACTACTCTAGAATAGTCCTGCCTATAATAGTTATAATATCCTTGGTATTAACTTGGGAGTAGAAAGAAAACTAAAAGAAAACTAAGACTGTAATTTTGTTCTTTAGCTAGATTACTGGTATATGAGAGTGTGTTAAACCTCTCTTTCTCTTAAAACTTGAAGTACAGATTTTAAAATATAGGGGCATTTAATTTGAAAAATGAATTTGAATTCAAATACTGGTTTCTCCATTTATCTTAGTATAGTCATTTATTTTAGTATCTTTAAAGTTGAATTCATCCATCTATAAAATGCATATAATGAAAGCCAATTTGTAGGGTTGCTGGACAATTTATCAATACCTATAGGTCAATGTCTACTGCATGGTATGCTTTTGAATTAATCACCTTGATTAAACTATTATTATTCAATGTTCACTGAGCACAATATTAAAATAATGTATTGACTAACATTGATTCTAAATTAATCCCTAATGGGAACTTTAGAGGATTGACTTAAAATGTGGATTCAAAGTTTTCAAATTCTGTCTATTCAGTTTAAAACAAAAGTGGATAATATATTATTGGAATACTTAGCCCATTGCTAAGACTACTTCATATCCCTTGACTAGAAACAGAGAAATAGATAAGCTGCTGAATGTGTCTCTTGTTACACTGCGTGTTTACTTGTATCAAAGACCTAATAACCTCAGTTGTCATTTAAGTCAGTCAGTCGTGTCCAACTCTTTGCAACACAATGGAGTATAGTCTGCCAGCCTCCTCTGTCCATGAAATTTTCCAGGCAAGAATAGGCTGGAATAGATTGTCATTTCCTTCTCTAGGCGATCTTCCTGACCCAGGGATTGAACCTGCATCTCTTGCATTGGCAGGAGGATTCCTTACCACTGCATCACCTGGCTGCTTATATCTCCAAAGATAGTGATACACATTATGTTTCAACTCTGCTTTAAAGTTGTTTCTTATGAGTAAGGATTGCTTTTTTTGTAACTTCCATGCATTGATCCTAAGTCTACTCTTTGAAGACTGGTTTGAAACAGGGAAATTTTTTGGAGGAAAATTTTTACTAAGCAAACCAGTTAAGTTATAGAGGCCCAATAAATGTTCTTGGAATAAATAAGATTTATTTTAAAAAAGCAAGAAAGCTCCCCTGTTACTACAGGCTTAATATTAACTCAAAAGAAAATGTCTTTTCAAATATTTATTACTGATTTGTTTGAAATAGAAATGCATATTTGATTCAAATGATCACCAGTTAACTAAAGGCAAGACATTGTTGATCTTTTTAAGGCAACTGCTTTCGAGTTGAAAACCTATAAAAGGTAAGCTATTACTGTTAACTGTCCAAGTTTCAAGCTGAACAAAAAGAAATAGGTTTGTGTCTCTATCTTAAAACTCTCTCCTCTCTCTCTGCCTTTCTCTATTCTCTCTTTGTCTCTATTCCTCATCCTTTTCTCCATCTCATTCTCTCTTTTGACTCTTTCCACACTCATTCACATGTGCACATGCACACACACAAACACATACAGATGTCTGGTATATTAGATCAATCCATTTTACTTAAGTAACTCTTTTACTCAGAGGTAAAGAAAATGTTGAGTTGAAATTCCCAGTTTTCTTCAGATTTTTCTCAGAAAGAGAAAACTAATGTCCCTTAAAACATTTCTTTTTCTAAGTGTATCATTCTTCTTATTCTCATTTCTTATGCCCAAACATGAAAAATACATAAAACACATGCACAAAATAAAATTCAAAGGTGAAAATAAATGGTTTATTTTTAAAATAAACAAATTTACAAATCAAATGGAAAATGGAAAATACAAACATTTATGAATAAAATAAAAAAGATAGTCTTAAAATATGAAAAACCTATGGAAAGAAAATAGACAATTAACAAGTGGACTGAAACTTTTGTTCCCCAATACAATGGAGTACTTGTTTATTAGAACACTAGGGAATTATCTAAACTACAATGCAGAAAAAAATTAAATTATTTTATATGATTGTGTAATTGGACACTCTATATATCATGTTTTTTTGTTTGTTTGTTTAATTGGATGCAGAAAGTCTTTATACCATATATCTAAAACCTCTGAGATTTTTCTTTTTAACATTGGATATTTTAATTTTTAACATTAGAGAGTGATTTCTTCTTGCTCTCCAATGTATGTTTCTCCTTCTCTCTCAAATATTCTGTACTGGGCATCTTCTGGATCATAAAACAAACAAACAAAAAAGAACTCTTGAAACAGAATTATCTTAGGATGAGATATCATTTCGATTTGAGTTGCTTTAGATTTTCAGCATTTGGAAATGTTCAGTAGCAAATACAGTAATATAAATAGAACAAAAAGTATCTAGAAGTTTCTAGGGGTACCAAACATCATTTAGCATAAATATGAAATCCAAAAGTGCAAAAAGATGCCGCATTGGCAAGAGAATGACCCCTTGATGATGGGGCTGTCTCTCCTCTATCTAAAGCTCATTCTTGAACTGAAATTCAAATCTCATCTGGGGTCAGTTCTCCTCTGGTCTTTTGATGAAAGGGTTAATAGAAGGAATAATTATACTTTGTAATAAAGAAAAGCATTAACAAGGCTAAAAACATTAGAGCCAAGATGACCCCCATACCATAGTTTTATAGTCAATGATTCACGAAGCTTTTGTTTTATTTAAAATAACTCCTCCACAGAAAAACGATTTATTAAATAGACTTTAGTAACTCAGAAGGACACAAATATAAGAGATAATTTTAGAGTAGTTTATCAACATTCATACTACTAAGATAAGAATTTCCTTAAATCATGAATTATCATGTTTCATAGGATACCCAGGCTCATTAAAGGTATTTTTATTTTCTTTTTCTTTATTACTTAAAAGTCCAAATAGAGATTTATCTCCCCAAGAGTTGCGCACTAAGATTAACGTAATTTCTAAGTATGTGTGCTTAGAATATAGTAGATGGTCAATTAATGCCAGAGGGCTGGCTACTGCTTAGCAGTGACCATGGAAGCTCTGAGCAGAACAGAACTCACTGCACCCGGATCACTGTGGAAGTAGTAAGTTATTGTTACTCATTTAGGGAGGGCAGGAGTTAACAACAACTACTCTGTGAGCGTAAATTCACAAATATTATTAATGTGCAGAAAACAGTGACATAAAAATATTACAGTAAAAAACATAATTTAAAAACTGGATAAGAGTTCCAGTAATTTGTAATGTTGTGCCAATGACTATTTAAAGTCATATGTGGATATATATATACATATATGTGTGTGTAGTGTGTGTGTGTATATATACAATTCATGTATGTATGTATGTGTATATGTATTTCATGTGTATATATGCAATATATATATATATAGTGTGTGTGTATATACATATATATTTTTTAAAAATCTACATGTAACATAGATATTCAGCAGTCTGTAAACCCTGAACTTCGTTTTCACTTTTCCAAGTCTTAAGAACAGTAAAGTTTTACTTATACAAACTAAAACATGTTTAGTTGACAGTGACTTTTTAGTCTAACTTGTTTGAAGTGAGTGTTATTAACTTATCAGTGAATAAAATATGAAAACTACTCAGGGTTCAGTTAATACTTTTAGAGTATTAATGCTAAAAGCACGCTCAAGGTCCCTAAGTCTAACTTTAACACTTTACAATGGGGAGATAGAAACAAGTGAAGAGAAATTATTTTCCAAATATTCACATTAGCAAAGCTAAGATTAAAAGACAAATTGACAAACACCCTGTTCTGTGCTTTTCTTATAAGAGAGAAAATGCCCTTGAAAGCTTTTTGCTCTTCTTTTACTCAAATTAGCACCAGTAAGAGAAGCTTCCTCTCCAATGAATCAAGTGTGGAGCCACCTGCATTCTCTGAATGACTGACCCAAAATGCAGGAGGTAGGGAGATGGAGTGATGGCTATGGGTCAACCTACAGATAATTGGGAGTTTACTGTAATAAAATATTATTACATAGTTTTCAAGCTGACAAATATGAAACCAACTACCTGAGATAGAGTGCATGGGGTGGTGGGGGGAGATGACAGGAGACAATGTGGGAAAGCCCTTTAAGCCAATCATAAGGAACATTTACAGTCACCCTGCTTAAAGCATCATAAGTGGTGTCGGTCATGCTGTGAGGGTGTCTAGTATAGTAGGATGAGCAAAAGAGTTTATTTTCCTTAGTGAAGATAAATTTAGGCCCTGATTATCTTTTAAGGGATGAATAAAAAGAAAATAAAACTATACTTGAAACTCCCCTATTAACAGACGACTCATCTTTAAGGGGTCTTTAAATCAATAACAAAGGCTGCCCCATAATATTAAGATTATTCAAAAAAAAAAAGAGAGCGAGAGAGAGAGAGAGCCAGAGTGAGTGAATAGAGAGGAGTAGGAACAGGAATGGAGGATGCAGAAGGGGAATTTTGCATCACCAGGTCTTGCAAAAAATGGAGTGATCTCAGGCATTGGAGACAGGTGGTGTCACAGTCATTCTAAGCCTTGGTATTGCCTGAGGAAGCAGAACAGTTCTTCTACAGTAACCCTGAATTTATCTCTATGGGGAGGCTTCCATAGAATTTGTTTCTGTCCATGAACAACACACTGGGAATAAAGCAGGGGAATCCTTCCTTCCTGGAGTATTGCTGGATCTTTTCATCCATCATTCACTGGCTCTTTCATACATTTTTCAAGGATGAATAAGTGAGACCCTGCTCACCACTTCTAGACCACCTGGGACTTTTCTTCACTGGCATGGCCACCTGCAGCTGCTTCCAGAACCTGCCCTGTGGATACTTGGATTTCTCCCCTTTCCATTTAATGACCGTGAGCACCGTCTTAGCCCTCTTCAACTCTTTCACCTTCGTTTCCTTCACAGCTTTGTACTGCACTAAAATGACGTTGATGCTGCCTCGAGAGGCCATGTTTTCTAGGCCAGCCTTGAGCTCCAGGAGGGCTTGGGTTCCCTGGAGCACGTAGTTGGGGCTTAGGACAACCAGGAGGCGTCTGCTTTTCTGAATGAAGCTCAAGGTCTCATCTGTGACAACTGGGAAAGAAAACACCATGGGGATTAGTGATGGCCAAGAACTCCCTCAAGGTATGGGGCTTGAGGAGCAAGTGAAAAGAAATTAGCATAATAGTTTGAGAATTGGAGTGAAACTTTGATCAACACTTAATCCTTAGACCCAATTGCTCTGTTCAGAAAATGTCACTCTCTTCAGGGACAATAGAGACTGAATGCACATATTCCAACTCTGAAGGAATTCCAAACAGGCATAAAGCCAGAATGTATTCCTATGACCTTGGTCTTCAGAAGCATCATTTGGGACTTGAAGAATGAGTGGGTAGTACTGAAATCAATTTCTTCAAACTGTGCGGCATATTTTGGCCCAGTAAAATCAGGTCTTGAGCCCTTTCTCCCCAAAGATATCCATGTATTAACTCTCTACTGCTAGTGAGTATTAAAAAAACATATATTATAGTGTTAAATCATGGAAATTAATTTTTCACTAACACAGAACAGCAAAACACTTCATTTTTTGGTAGTCCCTCTCTACTCTCAGGCACCTCCCAGACACAGACTATTCTATATCATTGGAATAGGAACTTAAGAAAATCTAGCCAATTGAATGGTATTTTGACTGGAATCACATTCTCAGCTCAGCTTTCTATTCTGCTCTGCTCTGGAGCCTAAATTAGTCCCTGAATCTTTCTCCTTAAACTCCTGTCATTACTATGAAGCCATGTGTTTCAGCAGTTGCTAGCTGATGCGTGCGCCTTCACTGGCAAGCAAATGGTTTCTTCAGGTCGAAAAAGCAGCAGCAGCAGGGGAAAATGGAAATGCTGTATAATTTTATTCTGTTGTCAAGTGTTCTGATTAGTTCCTGTCACTAAATTCTTGGGAATAATCCATCTCCTCGAGGTTGCTTATCAAGGACTGAATAATCCTTTTCCTGGGGTTCAGATAGAAGGCAACTCCAGGGAATGCACCAGTGTTGTGGAAAGCCATCTCAAGGTTTACCATACTCCCCACTCCCCTGAGCAGTCATTTTGCCCTTTAATCTTCACAGGTACAGAGGCAATGGGGAGAGAGTTGAAATTAAAATAGCATGTGCAGCCTAGAGGAGAATCCAGGAATAAGTAATTGCCCACTCCAAGCAATTTTGCTGGTTGACTGTGTGTAAGCAGGAAAGAGACCTAGAGGCAAAGAGGACTGAGTAAAAGCAGCAGGGAGAATGCAAAAGATCACAAAGATCAGTCATCAAAAGCAAAATGCAAGAGTAATTATATAGAACTTGAATTCTTCAAAGAACTATCAATCCCTGCTGGAGTCTTACATTGTGGTTATACTGTGTATCTTCACATGACTGTAAATATCAGTTGAATGACTTACGAATGAATAATTAGATGAATAAAGTATTTAAGATTTTAACCTTCAAAATGAGTGGGATTTGTCCTTTATCCATATAGTCAAGTCAGCATTTTATGGCAAAATTATGCTGAAAGAGATATCTCCTACAGAACAGAAACATGATGGACTTTTGGATGATGATTTTGTACATAAAGTAACTGATCCAGCTAATTCAAAATACGAATAAACATCAATGTCTATTCTGTCTCTCAAATTATCAATATAACTAAAAAATATGCTAAGTGAGTAATGTACACAGGATTTAGGGGAAGAAAATAAATTAGTTTGTTGTAAAGATTAGAGATATTAATGCATTTTAACAGTACAGAGTTTAACAGTGGGTTTACGAGTGCTATTATGCATCTATAAAAGAGACTCAAATGTAGCATCACTTCATGTGTTACTGTCTGGATCTGAAAATTAGAGGTACACTTTATTTTAAATCATTCAGCATTTCAATCTTTTTACACCTATTAGAATATACTGGCCTTTGTAAAATGTTAAACTCATTTCAAATGTGTAATTTGATATGAAAGAAGAAACAGACACAAGGAAAGAAGGGATTTGAGTAGCATTGGTTTGCTAGAAAACAAGAATGAAAAAAAGGAAGGAAAATATTCTAATTACTACCAGTAAGTAATATAATGGAGGATTCCATGCACTCTCTTCTGCACCTCATTTTTTGTAAAATTGAGTAAATCTCATCTGTATAAAAATGTTTTAAACTCACTCTATGAAAAAATTCTAGGCAAATTAGTGCAAATTAGTTAAACCTTCTAAAAATCTAAATGTGAATAAACAAAATGTTTAAAGCTGTGGCTCTTAGCAGAGCTCCAATGCACTCTGCATCTACACTTTTCTGACATTGTTTTTGAAGCTTACTGGGGAAATATTTTAAAACCACAAATTGCACTTAAATAATCTACACTGATGGACATACGTTTGGATAAACTCCAGGAGTTGGTGATGGACAGGGAGGCCTGGTGTGCTGCGATTCATGGGGTCGCAGAGTCGGACACGACTGAGCGACTGAACTGAACTGAATCTACATCTTACAATGTAGAATTATTCCTGTTGTTATTGTTTAGTTGCTAAGTCATTTTCGACTCTTTGTGACCCATGGACTGTACCCTGCCAAGCTCCTTTGTCCATGGGACTTCTCGGGTAAGAATACTGGAGTGGATTGGCATTTCCTTCCCTAGGGGATCTTTCTGAGCCAGGGATAGAACCCACATCTCCTGTGTTTCCTGCATTGGCAGGCAGATTCTTTACCATTGAGACATCTGGGAAGACCAGATTTATTCCTAGAGAGTCTCTATCTATTACAAAAAGAATTGGGCATTTAAATATCCAAAGATGTCAACATAGAACTGTGCCATGACTCTACATGTGACCTGAAGCTACGGGTCTACTCTGCCGTTCAGTGTAGCATCACCTGTACCCATCTGAAATACCTACTTCCCCCAGGTAGACTGTCTCGGTCAAAGATGCACAGCTTGTATCCAAATTCATTCTCCAAGACTCCACGGAGGGTCAGTAATACAAATTCTTCTTCTTCAGCATTCCTTGCATAGGATACATAAATATCATATTCCTTTCCATCTAGCAAAAATTTAATAAAAGACACAAAACACAGATCCAATATAAATTAGGAAAGTTTCTCAATAGTACTCTATTTTTTCTTAAATCAAACTTTTGGATATTAGACATTTTCATTTTTTACACATGTGAATTAGCTGACAAATTTCAGTGTGATTCCCCACCTGTGACAGGTCTCCAGGCAAAATGACTATTTTAAGGTGTAATTGCAAATTTTATCTGATGTGTCTTCTACTCTCATCTCACTGAGCTCAGATTTTGTAGTAGAGAATGAGTGAGGTTTGGCTCATTCGGCTATGAACTGAGGGAATCAGGAAGCAAATATTTACTCAGTCATAGATGCTGGCAAAAATACCATGCAGAACATTTCTAATTCCTGCCCTCATATGTCACTCACTAATATATAAGAATAATAAATTGAGCAAAACCTTGAGAAATGTCTAAATCATGTATACCTGAAAATACCTACAATTAAAATATGCTTAGATTTGATGAACCAATTTTTCTCCCAGTTGCCTAAGTATAAAAATCATCTCTTGTTTAAAATATAGGTGCCTGTCTCTTCTACAAGTCACTCAATGAGACTCTTTATGGGATGGGTGTTAGAATTAGTAAACAAATGTTTCATTCTTGTCACCTGGCATAGAGGCACCAAAACAGTGTTTCTTAAACTATAATGTGTACATGAATCATTTTGAGATACTGTTGAAACGTAGATGCTGATCCATAACAGGGACTACCCTTTAGACGCTCCATTTAGTAAGCTCCCATGTGATTCTTCTGGTACACAGATAACCTGTGAGCATAAAGTGTGGACATGCACTGTCTAGTACAATAACCACAAGCCACAAGTGGCTGTTAAGCACTTGAAATGTATCTGGTCTGAATGGAGGTATGCTGCAAGTGTAAAATACAATACCTGCTGAACTTTGAAGATTTTTTAGTACCAAAAATAAGACTAAAATATCTCTATTAACATAATATTAAATTACAAGCTAAAATGATAGTCTTTTGAATATGTTAGATAACATAATTATTAAAATTATTTTCATTTTTTCTTTTCTTTTTCCTTATGTGACCACTAGAAAAATATTAAACTACATATGTGGTTCATATTGTATTTCTATTTGAATAGTGCCACTCCAGACTAAATCATATATTGACCCAGAATATATATGAAAGAAAGAAATATATATGAAAGAAAGCAGAATAATATGCATTAGAAAGATTTTCAATAGTAAAGGCTAAAACCAAAGTTAGTCTAATTATATCTTCCAATTAATCCAGGTTTTATCAAGCCAATATGTTTTCTCAAGATGGCAGTTGGGAGATATACATGAAATTTTCATTACTCACCTAAAATGGTTTCATCTGTTCCAAAATGAGCCCGGTAAAATAAGACCATCTCCAGCCAGTAAACATGGTAAATAACTATAAGAATCACCACGAGGAGGACTGTGGCTCCAAAACCACACGCCAGTTCCACTGTGTACCTTGGAGCTATTATCGGAGAGACCAACAAAGAAACAAATTGATTTGTGCATGATAGTCATGGTGACCCATCATTCTGCAAATAGCTGGTTAAACCAAGCAGCTGAGTCATGAACCTGACCTATATGTGTGAACAAGCAGAGGCCACCTGGTGGAGGTTAAGCACTATGTTCTAATACTAGATTGTGGCCTATTTATCATTTTGTTTCCAGAAACTGGCATAGAAGGTGCTTCTTAACAATTATATGATTTGAATACACTTCGATGATAATACAAATTAAAACAGATCTTATTGGGAACAATTTAAAAGGTCATCTAAACTGACTCACAAACTGACAACTAAATCTTCTCAAAAATATTTTTGGAAAGTGTTAACTCCATCCTATGTCCAGGTCTTAACTAGACCAGCTGATGACACTGGTAGAATTTTAATTGTTGTAGCAGCTAACTGAGCACAAATTGTAATGTGTTTATATCAGTCTTAGTTTCATCCACTTGTCCAGAGCCATATGGGAGAAATTTAATTCCTTATTCTTTATATTTGGCAATAGGCCTCAACAATTTTATTATCATTGAACAGAAAATGAGGGTATCCACCTAATGCTGAGTATGCTTGGCTCTGAAAGTATCTGTCAGGTGGACAGTTCTAGGATATATATTCTACAAGCCTGCTTCTTCACTCTTTCTCACTCACCGTTAAACCATACATTGTTACAGTCATCTAGGTAGAGACTGTCTTCTTCATCCATCCTATCTTGAGAACTCTGGGAACTGAATGAACATTTCTGGATATAACGCTACAGACTTTTAAGTACTATTATTTAAAATAAGTCTAGTACTATGTGATATTTAAAATAACTCTGAAAGTGAAAGTCACTCAGTCATGTCCGACTCTTTACTGGAGTGGGTACCCTTTCCCTTCTGCAGGGGATCTTCCCAACTCAGGGATCAAACCCAGGCCTCCCACACTACAGGCAGATTCTTTATCAGCTGAACCACAAGAAAAGCCCAAGAATACTGGAGTGGGTAGCTTATCCCTTCTCCAGAAGATCTTCCTGACCCAGGGATCGAACCTGGGTCTCCTGCATTACAGGTGTATTCTTTACCAACTGAGCTATCAGGGAAGCCCCCAAATAAATCCAGCACTATACTATGTATTTGTAACTTCATGTGGCTGCTTTATTAACTTTACTAGTGAAACTTAAGAGTTTGAGATGGAACAAATATTTCTGGATCTGAAGCAGAAGTGGCTTAAACTATATTTTAGTTGATTTGACAATTACTTATTGGCATCTACCATTTGCTAGAAGCTGTTGAGGTTATAATGGCAGATAAAACAGGAACGGTCTCTGCCCTCTTAGGGCTAAGATTCTAATGGTGGGAAGTAAATAAGGAAATAAGACAGTTACTGTTAGAGAGTGATCCATGCTATGAAGGAAATAAACCAGGGTAATAGGATGGAGGTAGCTGAGGGGAGGAGATGGGGCGGAGAGGTATATCAGGCAGAGGTGAGAAGCCTTTTTAAACACCTGAACATTGTGTGTATTAAGTGTTTGCCAGGACAAGGCACAGAAAAATGTTCTTCAATCTGGAACTGTTATCAAGCCTTCCTGACTTCAAAGTTCAGAGATCTTTGCACAACACTACCATGAAGTTCAATTATTGATCATACCAGTGAAAAATCCCTTTTAAAACAGGTAGCTATTCTAAGGGGAAAATGGTGAGTAGCCTAGAGCTAAATCTGAAATTCTCTAATTAAAAGGAAAAATCATTGAGTTTTGCATACATTATCCTAAACTCAGGGTACTAATCCTGCTACAGATATAGCCTGGGAGTCAGCTGTACAGAATTACCATGGACTCTAATACTCATGATTTCCAGGTGGCGCCGTGGTAAAGAATCTTCCTCTCAAATGCAGGAGACTCAGGTTCAATCGATCCCTGGGTCTGGAAGATTCCCAGAAGTAGAAAATGGCAACCCACTCCAGTATTATTGTCTGGATAATCCCATGGACAGAGGAGCCTGGCGGGCTACAGTCCATGAGGTTGCAAAGAGTCAGATACAACTAAGCGACTGAGCATGCACACACACAGGCTTGTACTCAACCCATGAACAACAGTGCTTTAAAATAAGATAATAAATGCCATAAAGCTATGTCAGTGTACTTGATGAGAATTTATTAAGATCAGTTTGAGTAGCTGGCATGAAAATTGCTGTATCCTTGGTATTTCTGAATACATGTTATGTTAACGACACACTGGGCTAATTCCCACTGTCATCCTGATTATTTGCTCAGCTATTTTGGCTCCCTCTGGATAGACATTTCACAATAAGAAAAAATGAAAAAAGGTCAGTGGATCCACTTACCTGAAATGGATTTTTCTTAAAAAATATCAATAGTTACCTTGTTTAGTGATCAAGGTATCAATTACACTCATGGCTTTCCCTCTGCCACATTCATTTTACTACTGCCTGTTTTATTTCTACTAGAGCTTTTTAATTTTGTGTTATACAATTACATATGTCATATTTACAGACTGCATTTTGTTGGGCCACCTTGATGATTTCAAGAAGTTCCTAATGCTATTTAACTAATTGAACTCAAGATAAATAATCCACAAGCCTGATTTTCTAAATGGTTTGAGTCACATTTAGGAAGTGCTCTAAAAAGCTTTCAAAAATAGCTTTGCTGGTTTGTTTGAAAGGCTGATCCTTAGTCCACATTTTCCGTCTGCCCCACCTCAACTCTCTGATGTTTAGGCATAAAGATTTCACTCTGATGCAATCACAGACCAAAGGGTTTCCAGTCAAAAGGGGTGATATAGTTGACCAAACTTGACTCCTAAACTACTTCTATCTTTGTTCTCACTGATAATCTAAACAGGATGGAGACGAATTTAGTGACTTGCTCTACTGTTTCTTTCTGAATCAGAATTCCCTCTATCCTTTTTCCAGAGCCCAAATTTCCAGCTAACTACCCTTGGTTAAGGTAGTACAAAAGCTCTAGTAATTTTTCTTGTTTCAAGCTATCAGTCTACAATCTTGTTTCTCCTTGAAAACTTACATTTATTTTCTTCATCTTCATTATCATAGTAGGGGCCTGGTTATCCACTGAATCTCCCAACCAAATACCAGCTGCTTGAATTTCCAAGTATTCCCTGCCACAGAATATTTGTGTACTCTTTGCTAAATTGTTGGGACTACTTGACAATTATTGGTACTATAATAATGGTCACTTGCCTGAATAACAAAGAGAATGTGTGCATGTGCCTGCATGTCCTAAGTCCGTTAGTTGCGTTCAACTCTTTGTGACCCTATGGGCTGTAGCCCACCAGGCTCCTCTGTCCATGGGATTCTCCAGGCAAGAATACTGGAGTGGATTGCCATGCCCTTCTCCAGGGGATCTTCCTGACCCAGGAATCGAACTGAAGTCTCTTATATCTCCTGCATTGGTAGTCAGGTTCTTTACCACTAGTGTCACCTGATAGTAAATCAGAGATTTATGACTGAATTAACCTTCAGACCTTATTTGTTTGGCTATTTTAGTTCAAACTTGTGCATTTTGAAAATCAGCTTCTCGTCTTAGAGAAGTGACAGGGGCAGCCTTCTCTCCATAACCTCTAAAATATTATGATGATTTAGGGGCATGCAAAGATTTCTTAGAACAAAGAAAACAATAACCATTAAAGAAAACATTAATAAATTGCACCTCATCACTAAAATGTATCACTGAAGAAAGGAACTGGCAAGATACAGAGTGGGAAAAAGTATTTGCAAAATATCTATCCAATAAGGAACTGGTATCTAGGGTAGAAAAGAGAATTGCTCAGATCTGATAATGAAAATACAAACAATCTACCTAAAAAATGGACAAGATATTTGAACACTCATAACACAAAAGAAGACCAACAACTAACAAGCATATGAAAAGGTGCTCAGTATCTTAGTCATAGGTGAAACAAAAACTACAAAATGAGGTACCACCACACACTCACCAAAATGGCTAAAACTAAGATTGCTCTTCGCTGTTGTTTTAGTCACCAAGTGGTGTTTGACTCTGTGACCCCATGGACTGTAGCCAACAGGCTCCTCTGTCCATGGGATTTCCCAGGCAAGAATTCTGCAGTGGGTTGTCATTTCTTTCCCCTGGGGCTCCTCCTGACCCGGGATTGAACCCATGACTCCTTCATTGGCAAGTGGATTCTTTACCACTGAGCCTCCAGGGAAGCCCAAAACTAAGAGTAACAACACTACATGACAAAGATGTAAATACACTGTTTCAGTGAGAGGGGAGAATGATACTACCACTTGGGAAGAAAGCTCTGAGAGTTTCCCATAAAACTAAGCTGGTAATTCTACTCATAGTTACTCACATCAGAGAAGTAAAAATAAAAGTCCATAAAGAGGCTTGGATAAGAATGTTAACAGAAGTTCTTCAAAACTGTGAACAACCCAAATGTCCTCCACCCAGAGAAAGAATAAACAAGCTGCAATGAATTCTTTAAAAAATCAAACAAACAAAAAAAAACACTACTTGGCAAACAAAAGCAACTAACGACTGATACAACAGCATGATTATTAAGATTATTTTCTGAGTGAAAGAAGCTTTATAAAAGAGTGCATTCTGTATAGGTCTAGGTATATAAAGTTCCAGAAGAGGAAAAAAAATAGTACATTCTGATAAGGAAAATCAGAACAGCTGCTTTGACAGTGGTGGAGAAGATAGGAGTAGCAGGATTGATTGATAAGGGGAAAGAGTGGGAGGTTACTGTCTATAGTGATGATAATATTCTATATTTGATTTTAAGTTACACCATGAATATATACACATTTCTTAAGTATTATCAAAGTTCACATAACTGTGATTTGTAATTTGTCACTGTATACAAACTTTACCTAAAAAAAAAACTAAGAGAACTATAAATAAATATTAAAATTTGGATAATACAAGATGCTTAAATGTTTAGGTGATAACTTTTACTCATGTCTGTAACTACTTAAAGGTATAA